ATATATATTATACTATATAAATATATTTTTATTTATATATATATATATATATCTTTTTTTGTAGTTGCACTTTTTAATTAATAGTTTAAGTTCTAGTAAAAGAATTTAAAATTTAATGGTTGGTTGTCCTCTCCTTAATCTGGTCTTTATAGTAAATAGAAAATTTAGTCCCAACTATTATTGAGATTGCTGAACTTCAAAAAATGTGAAAATAATGAAATAAGAAAATAATGAAATATATAATTTTGAATGTTTACTTTTTGATTTTAAAATCAACTGTCAATTTTTCTATTCTGTTACCATGTGTTGCACTTTTACTACCTCCGGGAGTTATTGAAGTCTTATGAGTTTATTTTTTAAATGAAAGAAAAGATCTTAGACTACCTTAGGTGGTTTATAAAAGGTGGTTTTGGTTGCTTGAAACATAATGAAAAGTATTTTTTAAATGTTGCAAAAAAAATTTTTTTTGGGATCACGTTCTCCAATATAGATTTTGAAGCTACAATTTTTGCGTAAATAATTTAGTTTGTAACAGAGGAATATGACTGAAAATTGTTACCTAACCATTTTTAAAGGCGCTGAATCTAAATATAAAGAGAAAATAACCTAATTTTAAATATTTCATAACAACTTTTATAATTTCAAAATTTTTCAAAAGTTGTCTAACACTAGCTGTGAAATCTTAAAAAATATTAGGTCTCTGAAAGAAAAAATAAAGTTTTATTGCTCTGCAAAACTTCTGCAAAAGTTATGTTAAATTCTAAAGGTTTAACAACTCTAAAGATAAACAGGCTAAAGGAAAACCGCTACCTAAAAGGCTTTATAAAAAACAAACTGGGTGATCAAATTTTAAAATTTTCTGCTGTACTCTAAAACGCAGTGAATAGCTAGTTAAAAAAAAAATCTAGAAGCAGTTAATAAGTATAATACCTCAAAGAGGTTAAATGATTGTATAATTCTTGCTAGAGTATTTTGGCAAATGTTAGCCTCAGAACTTCAAAAAGAGAAAAGTATTATGTGCTTGGTTGATGATGGAAAATGATTAGAATTAACTTTCTGATTAAGTTGTTGCAGTTGGAAAACTTGTTGCAGTTGGAAAACCCATCTAATTTCAACAGTAGATGTATACTTAATTGTTTAAACCGTATAAAAAAATGAAAGTTCGCGTAGTTAAAAAAAATATTTTGGAAAATTATTATCCAATTATTTGTCCAAAAAGTTGAAACTATGGAATATAGTTGAAACAAGCTACAAAAATAAATGGATAACAATGGAAGAGCAGCAAACTTATTAAGATTTATACTTTTCTACTTTTTTTATATTTAATGGTAATAATAATTTCATCTATTTTTAACAATGCCTTTTTTTGTCAATATATTCACTTTTATTAAAATAGAAGACTATAAAGTAGAAGACTAAATAATTAAAATGAAAAAAAATGATTATGATTTTCAGAATCTAATCTGGTTCAAACTAATTAAGAAAAATCGGTTAAACTATAAAAAATCTAAAAAAAGATTATTATTGATCCCCCTACTACTGACATCCACAAGGTTTTGATGGTGTTTTAGCGGAAGAAATTCTTTGCACAAAACAATTATCATTCTAGTTTGAAAAGCAGTACGACTGACTTGGTTAATGTGTATGCAATAAGTAAAAAGCAATTTTACTTATGCCTAGAACGTAAGTAAAATTTCCATTAAGCGACTTTTTATCATTTTTAAACTTTTAAATTATTCTATAAGCGGTAATATAAAAGCAGTAATTAAAAGAAGTACTTTGATGATTATGTAAAAAAGTTTTTCACAAAAGTTTTTTGTCTCGTGAAAAAATGCCTTTGCAAGGAAAAAATAAAAAATAAATGATTTTATTTAGTTTTGATTTTATTTTATTTTGATATTATTTAGTAATCAAGTTGATAAAAGTTAAACTCTGTCTAAATATTGTTTTTATATATATCATCAGGTGGATTTTAAAATTTTGTCAAAAAGCTTATAATTAAATTCATAGTCAATGAATAAAGTATGCATGATAAAATGCTATCGTATTCTGGTACAAATTGCTTATGAAACGGTGGGCCATCCTTTAATGCCTCATGCGCATTTCTTTGTTCTGGTAAAATTTAAATTTTTTCTGATATATGCGTGAAATATTATTTTTGCCATTATAACACTTTATTAAAATGTTAGGGTATTGTGAGCATCCTATGTGAAAACTGTAATTTTTTAAAAAATAATTATACTCCACTATTTTGTGGAATATAATCATTTTTATTATCAAAATTTTTTTTTAAAAGATCAAATTTTAAACTATTTTTTTTTGAAACAATACTTTATTTCAAAAAAAAAATCACAATATATTTTCTAATTTTATTTTATTAACTCAAACCTTTGAATAATAAAGTTACAAATTTTTTGAATTTAAATTTAAGAATTTTACTTTGGAGATTTTAAAGACTTTAAACACTTAGTACTGTTAGAATTTAAAAATTTATTTTTTAATGTTTTTTTTTTTATTCAAAAATAACCACTGCAATTTTAGAACTTAAAATTACATAGTTTCAATAAAAACACTGGGTATTTGAGCATGGTTAAATTACACATAAACCGTTTCTTTATGTAAAGTCAAGACTAATTGTTTAATATAATAAAAAAAATTAATTTTTCTTTACAAAAAATTAAATTTCATCATTACTACTTTGCTCCACAGAAATATACTATGCAAAATTTTGACAAAGCAAAAAATTAAATAGCGTTTTAATTAGATAAGAGCCGCTTATTGCTACATATAAGTTCATACTAATTATACTGATTACTGTTATCACCACACGATGCCAATTCAAAAAATATAAAGCAAATTTAATTTCATTCTTTACATCTTGAAAAATTTTTGTTATGCTCATATTACCAAGGTGTTTCTAATCTACCCCATTTGTTTTATTTCCTACCTGTATATGCTTATAGATTCTAAGTTTTTAAAGAATGTATTTAACTTCTTTATTGGAGGTGAAGTGTGTTACTTACTAGCGCAAGCAATCGAAGCAAGAAAAGCCATACTGGTCAAGAAATAATTGTTGAAAAATGTGTAGAAATCCTTAAATGGTACAAGTTTTTTTTCTATTCTTAATAACGGTAGTCAAGCATAAAAAATGGGTAAAGTGAGACACTGGTTTTAGTTCAAACAGAAAAAAAATAGTATATCTTTTTACATGGTCAAAGAGCTGCTGGATGTGTCACTCTTGTGTGGCTTAGTAACTTAGTAACTAATACTATAAACAGTAGTTTAAATTAGTTCCATGGTTATTTAAATTAAGTTTTAAACATAAAACTTGCAAAATGATATGTGCAAGTGCAGATAACGCAAGCGTAAATTTTGGTGTACATAAAGGTGTACTGTCACAATTGCAGCAGAGTTGCCCATGGTTGATAAAAATTCATTGCATTAACCATAGAGTTGAATTGGCAGACGCATTTAAAGAAATTTTTTTAAATGCGTTTGCCAAATAGACACAAGGCATAAAAGACGCATTTAAAGAAATTCCTGATTTTACAAATATTGTCAACTTTTATATTACTAACTGCTATCTATTAAGGAACTCTAGTATGTTAAATGTACCCTCAAAATGCCTTAGCATAACGCAGTACAGTTTACTAAATTTGGTAAATTTATTGACAGCTTTAAAAACTGCTGCATGGTCACTGATAAAAGTGATTTAGATGATTCATTTTATAAAGCTAATGATAAATCAACGCACATTAAAAGTTGTACATATGTCAACGTAATATTAAATATGAATAGTTTTGATTATAACGAATAAATTAAGGGAATTCGTCAAAATAAGAAAATGATTTTTTTAAACTGTCTTTGTTACTGTAAAGTAGGTTTAAAGACTCAAGAGAAATTATACTTTTTAGAAGTATGAAATTTATTGATCCAATACATTGGATAAATGAAGACCCAGATTCGGGAGTGCTAGAAACCAACAGTCTTTGCAACTATTTGAAAAGCCATTAAAAATCGCTGATTTTCAAAGAGAATGGAAAGTGGCTATTTAAAACTGAGTTTGACTGTCTCCCAATACGCAGTTTGTGGAAAATTTAATTTCAGAATTGTTTTATTAAATTTGTTTGTTGCCTTATTTCATTAATTATGAGTAGATCTGATTAAAATTTGTCTTATTTCATTAATTATGAGTATATCTGGTTTAAATGTCTTTTTAACAAAGTTAAAAAGACATTTAGCACTGTCACAAATATTTTATCAGTTAACCGACCTCGTTTTTTATGGTCTTATAAAAAATAATATTAAAAACAAATATAATACAAAAATAAAGAAAATATAGAAACACTTATTAAAATGCAAAAATGCCAGTTTATATAATACAGTCTATTGAAAAAAAAAATGTTTTTTATTTTTATTTTTTAAACGAATTTGTTTTAATGCAAAATGCAAACTAAAACTGATTAATTTCACTATAGAAACACTAGTAAATAAAAAATTTCTTGATATTATTAATTTATAAAAATAATTAAGTAATGTTGGAAATAATATGACAAACAAATATATTACAAAAGTAACTATAATAAGAAGATAAATATCTTTTACAAAACATTTTGTAGTATAATTTCTCATATAAATAAACTACATTAGCTTAATTAAAAAATTTTTTTAAATTTAGGAGCAAAGACAGGATTACTTGCATCGTCTATGTATTTGTGTATGATATTTACTAGGTACAAATAATTTTATTATGAATACTGATTTTTGAATCGTTTTATTTAAAAGAGAATTAAAAAATGTATGGCTTCCTTTTATAGTCCTATATGGGGATACATTTGTGATAACTGGGGAAGAAAACTTTCAGTATATTTGTGCGCTGGTGGTCTTGCTCTAACTACTCTTTTGTTTGGGTTCAGCTTCACCTACACATGGGCTGTTTTTTCAAGAGCATTGCAAGGCGTATTTCTAGGTTTTTTAAATAATGAATATTTAAATTTTCTTTTTTTATAATTATTTAAATAGCTTAAATATATATGCATATGTATATATATATATATATATATATATATATATATATATATATATATATATATATATATATATATATATATATATATATATATATATATATATATATATATATATATATATATTGTTTATGTTATTAAAATGATTCATAGCCCGCATGAATTTTGACTTTGCAAATCTAACAATTTGAAATAAATATTAAAACAAAAAGTTCAAAAATTTATCATCTCGTCACGTGACCGGGGCAAGATGACTTATTATGCAATTTTTACCTCCATTTTTATAAAATTTTAAAAACTACTAATAACCTTAACTAAAGTTACAAAAAATATATACAATTTGCAAAAAAATACTTCTAAAGAAGTTAAACTTTTAATTTTAAGGTTTTTTGTAAAGTTGTTATATGAAAACTGATTTATATATATATATATATATATATATATATATATATATATATATATATATATATATATATATATATATATATATATATATATATATATATATATATATATATATATATATATATATATATATATATATATATATATATAATTATTTCAAGTAATTTAATTATCAAAATTTGTTAATGTTTGCTTCAAATTGTTAATATTGGTTATTTTTTGTTGTCCTTTTTTTTTAACATATCTACATAAAAATAATCATATGGTGTCATATCTTGGGATCAAGCAGCCCATTCAATTGGAACTTGTTAGGGACTCTATTTTTCTGGAAACTTATTATTTAACCAAGGTCTAACATCAGTAGTGTAGCAGGAACTCCATTATGTTGGAAATAGACTTATCTGAAAATGTCTTTTTGAACTATTACTAGATTAAATAGGCATCTTGAGGTAATTTTGATAGTTGGTTTGTCAAAAAAGTATGATCCTATGATGCAGTTTAAAGACATAGTGCAATAAGCATTAGCCTTTGGACTGTGCTGATTGGATTCATCCACAGTATATCAGATTTTTCGTGACTCCAAATTTGACAGTTCTGCTTCTGAACATTACTGAATGTATTAAAGTGGTTTCATCAGCAGCAACAAAATTATTATTTCAAAATGTTTCAAGAGTGGCAAAACATCTTTGGTATTTTGGGTTCTGCTTTCAAAATATTTCTCGTATAATTTCTAGTGTATTTGGATTTTATGTGACTTAAGAAACATCTGTAAATAAAAAGTAATATAGTCTCACTAGGTAAATTACACAGTTAAACCTTAATCTTGTTTTATATTCTTAGCACTAAAAAAATTAATTGTAACTGAATATGTTTGAATGAAAAATCACATTTCAACAATAGGTAGGCTAGTTAAATATTGACAAAGACAGCTAAGAAATAATAAGTATTAGAAAAAATGTTAGTGTTTAATTTAAAACAAATAAAAAATTTGATTAATTAAAGATAAATTATAATTGTAATTATATAATAATTTTATAATTATAACTATATTATAATTTATCAATAATTATATTAATTATAGATAAATTAAAGATTAATATTAACTTTCAAAAAGACTTAGTAGGGGCCATCCATAAAGGACGTCACCATTTTTTAGTCAATTTTTGACCCCCCCTACCCCTTCTTTGTCACCGGTTGTCCTTTTTCCCTATACCCCCCTTGAAAAGGACCTCGTAAAATCCTTAACCCCCCTTCCCCTTATTTTAATCCAAAAAAATTTATTTCATCTTGCAATGATGTTTGAATCTGCTGCTACACCTTTGAAAAATAAAATTAAAAATATTCTCATACATTATCTTCTTAAAAACACATGTTTACGTAGTTTTCCATGTTAATTAAACTAAAATAAAAAATCTATAAAGTGACATCCTTTTCTGACAACCTCCCCCCTCCCCTTGTGCTTTTTTGTCCATTTTAACTCGACCCCTCCCCCCCCCCTATTTGGATGACGTCCTTTATGGATGGCCCCGTAGTGATTCAACTGAGAACTTCCTCAAAATAAAAAAATACTTAAAATACTAACAAAGAGCTTTCAATAAAAAGAATATTTAAATGAACATATTTTATTTTTTTAATTTATTTAGATTTTTATAGCTTTAAGTTACAAATTATTAATGATTTATAACTTTTACAATAGTTTATATTATGATATTGTTATTTAGCCAATGTTATGCCGACTCCTAATAATTTAAGGTGTGCAATTAAATTGTCGACCTTAGGTTTCTTAATACCGAGCTGTGATCATTAAATAAATAATAATATAACAAGAAAGTCCAGATCCTTAAAACATGATAGGTCTAAATCACTCTTATTTTTCACTCGTTTTCAAAAGGTTTCAGAAAATGATAGAAAGGAATGATCTTACACTTTGTTATGCTATATGCACAAAATGCTTTTAGCATTTTATGCATATAGCATAACATTTATGCATATACCATAACAAAGTCGATGAAATATATAATAAATAAAAATAACAACTTTAGGTTTTTTTAAATAAAAACAATGGTTTTAAAAAAAAAAAAATGAAAAAAAGTTAACATTTACAACGTTTTTAATAATAGACTTTTTTATGTAGTTGTTTTAAAAATTGAATTCAAATTTTAAAAAATTGAATTCAAATTTTAAAAATTGAATTCAATTATTAAAATTTTAAAAAATTTTGCTTTTTTTGAGTAGCAGGTTGACATATTTTTAAACAATTCCTTTTTTTAATAAAATTAAAGATCCGTGTAATGTTTGAGGGCATTGAGGGACATTCAGGTCAAGTGAATAATTTAAAAAAATAATAAACTGAAACTAAATTAAATCATGAAAGATTAAATAAAATTAAGTATATACTACTATTAAGTTAAAAAACCAACCACATGTTTTAAACATACTCTTAGGTGCTTTATAAACAACAGGAGACATTTATTAGTTTTGAAATTTTTCTCCCGTCTCAAGCTTATTAAGAACCCCCCCTTCCTTTATTAATTTTTCTTGTCATCAAAAAACATCTTAAAGTTAAAAAAAGAATATATATATACAACCCCCCCCCCCCTTCAGTTTTTGTTATTTCTACCACCCTTTTTAATAAGCACCAAAGAGTATACCCGAGATGAAGAAAAATGATAATTACAATCTTGCTTTAAAATTATATGTCTCAATAATTGCTAAATGGCATATAACTTTAAGTACCATAAAAAATTTGTATTTTTTCATGTACATTTTTTTTCCCAATATCTTCCCTTCGAACAAGGCTGTAAGCAACCACTATTAGAGTTGTAAGTGTACTTGTACTGGAAGAGAAAAGATGAAGTTTAAAGAGCAAGATAAAGATTGGCAGAAGACTTAAAATATTCAAAATTATATGAATCAGGAAAGCGAGATAAAGGAAGCAAATTCCAAAGAACTGTTTGAGAAAAAAAGCTAGACGAATAAGAGTTTCAAATAAAGAGATGCAAACTTAGCAGATGATAATTTTGCAATCAATTTAGCGTATGGTAAGAAAGAATGTAAGTAAGAGTTAATCCTAGAAGATTAAGGATAGATGACTCATCAAGTACCTCATCGTTCATAAATATGGGAAGTTCTAAATTATTGCAGTAATGATTGGCTAAAAAAAAAATTAGCTTTTTTTATGAATTAAAATTCACATACTAATTTATATTCATTGCAAAATATAAATTAGTATGAAATATTTATGCAATTAAACCTAACTAATTTGATGATTGTTTCTAAATGAAACAATTAATAGTATTTAACCAAAAAGAATGAACTTGAAAAATATTAAAGTTATTAAAAATTAAACTAACTTCATTTTCATTATCTTCATTGTCCAAAGAATTAAATGATTATTGTATAAAATAACTTTTTTTAATATAGTTGTAAATTAATAAAAATATAAATTAGTTAAACTCAACCAATTAAATAGTATTAAAAAAAAAAGGTCAAGTGTTATTAAAGGATCAAAAACACTAAAATGTGAACAATAAAAATTTACTTTTTGCAAAAGAGTTATTGGCATCTGCTGAAAAAAATGAAACAGTTATTTTATTGTATATTTATGTCTATAATAATACATTATGTGTGTAATAAATATATATACAATTATGAACTTTGAATTTGCACCAGGTTGATAATTTACAGCTGCTTAAGTAGGCAGCATTAACTCTTACATAATTTATATATTTATATTTTTATTTATAAGACAAATCTTTTAATTTTACTTAAAATCATTTTATTACAATTTTTTACAATTATATACTATATTTTAAACCGTTTTTAACAAATATATTTTAACTGATGATGACTATATAGTGTCGAAACATATCTTGATAAATAAAATGATTTTAAATAAAATTCAAAAATTTGTCTTTTTAAAAGTAATATCACATTTTGTTCTGAAAAGAAGTTTTGGTAATATATATATATATATATATATATATATATATATATATATATATATATATATATATATATATATATATATATATATATATACATATATATATATAAACTAGTCATATTTTCTCACATGTCACCTTAAAGTTGGTATAGGATTATATATATATATATATATATATATATATATATATATATATATATATATATATATATATATATATATATATATATATATATATATATATATATTTGTATATAAACAGTATTTTTCAGTGTAAATAAAAAGTAAATAAAATAAACTTTTTTTTAATGTAAAAGATCATTTTCGACAACTGTTAAAATATATTCATCCAAGCATGGCTATTAATTATGGTAGATTTAGATTTAACAATTATTTATTAACTTTTAAAATTTTACAATTACTTGTAGGTTTATTAGGCATAGCAAAAGCTATAATAACAGATATGTCAGATGACTCAAATCTTGGAGTTGGAATGTCGCTTGTATTTGCATCATTTAGCCTGGGGTTAATTATTGGTCCAAGCATGGCTGGTAACTTTTTACTGTTTTTCTTTTTCTTTTTTTTTTTTTGTTTTGTTCTTTTTATGTAACATATATTTAAATTTTTGTTCTCCCAAACAATCTTGAAAAATAGTTATCTGTTATTATCCAATCTGGTTATCCAGAAATTGCAGTTTATTCTTTAAAGAACTAAAACCTTTTTACTTGTGTTGTTACGACTTTGAAATAACTCGACTGCTGACTAAATCGATTAAAGTGTTTTTCAAAGTCGACTAAATAATAACTAATTAATCGACTAAAAGTTGATTTAGCCAAAATATTTAAATTTTTTTAAATTATAATATTTAAATGTTGCTTGGTAATTTATTTTTTAGATGAAATAAATAGAACTTTGAGACTAAACAATAAACCAGGTGGTATTATTTTATTAGAGTAATTTAAATTGAAAAAAAACAAAACAGAAATTACAATAAAAAAAAAATAAGATGACTATTTTATGTCTTGGTTTAACAAGACACATTGTTCAGCTAAATCTGGTTTAATACCCCGTTCACACTAAATGGTGTTTTAAACTAAACTGGTTTTGAAGGAAAACCAGTTTTATATTAAAACACGTTTTCAGTTTTTTTTGCGTTCACATCAAACGTTTTAATCTCAACATTAAAAATGGCGTTCTCAAATAAAAACTTGATCTCTAAATTAAGAGTGTTCTTGTAGATATTAAGAAAAAAAAAAGAATTCAATTACAGCTCATATTAATAAACTGTATCCGTGCTTATAATTATTCTATTCACAAAAGATTTTGGACTAAACCTTGCAGTCAGCACTTTTAGTACAAAACTATGTCGTTCTGTTGGAACGACGACGATTGGATTCAAAACATAAAAATTTCAAAAGCAGGCTTTAACTATCTATGCAAGGAAGTTTCAATTTTTATGCCTAAACAAGAAACTAATTTTCGCAAATCTTTGCCTATAGAAATAAAGTTAGCTGTCACACTTTACTTTTTAAGTGGATCTGCAGATTACCGGACAATAGGCAACCTGTTTGGCTTGGGAAAACCTACTGTTTGTACAATAGTTCATAAAGTTTGTAAACTTTTTGTTGATAATTTACTGAAAAAATACATTTTCTTACCCTCAAGGAAAGAGACAATAGAGATAATGGCAAGTTTTGAAAAACTATATGGTTTTCCACAATTAGTTGAAGCAGTTGATGGGTGTCACATTAGAATAAAGGCTCCTTATAAAAATTCAGAGGATTATATAAACAGAAAAGATTATCACTCCATTATATTACAGGGGTTGGCAGATAGCAAGTACTTATTCAGAGATATTTTTGTTTGGTGGACTGGCAAATCTCACGATTCAAGAGTTTTTAAAAATTCTCCTTTATATAAAGAGTGTCTAGCCAGAACCTTTTTACCAAATAACTTAAACAAAATAATTGATAATATAGAAATTGTATAATTTCATAAACCTTTTATTCTCGGTGATTCAATAAGCTGAATCACCGAGAATAAAGGGTTTCTATAAAATATAGAAACCTGTTATTCTCGGTGATTCAGCTTATTCCCTTGAAAAATGGCTTATGAAACCCTACTCAGATCGTGGAAATTTAATTACAGAAGAAGCCAAGTTTAGCGCTTCACTAAGTAAGTGTAGAGTTGTAATAGAGAATGCATTTGGAAGACTGAAAGGTCGATTTGAATGTCTTTTAAAAAGATTAAATGCAACAGTTGAACACACAGTTAATATTGTTACAACATGTTGTATTCTACACAATTTCTTTACTTTGACAAAACAAAATTTTGAATTAAAAATGAATTTACAAGTAATTAGGTGTAAATGAACTTTTAAAACAATATTTAAAAATTTATATTTTTTATCTTGAAAAACAACATAACATTACAAAAAAAAAGTTTTAGTTTTTTTTCATTACAATCAAAAATTCAATTTCAGCCCATCTTTTGAGACGTTTAACATCCTTATCATTTCGGATAAGTACATTTGGTAACTTGGTAATCAATAAGGTGGCATTATTTTCAATTGTAAATTCCTCTTTTATTGTGCTTGTAAGTTTTTCTAGAGTCAAATCTGTCAACAAAAATTCTATTTCAATGAAATATATATCTCCAGCTTGGCGAACTTTTAAAATAACATATGGTTCTTGTTCTTTGTGATTTTCTAAAAGAAAATCTAAAATTTTACGATCAATATCAGCCTGTGAGGTTATAAATGTGTTAACAGTGGCATTTATTTGCTCAAACATTACATCACTTCTTGATTTTTTCTTTTTGGATTTTTTAAAGTAAAAACTTTTATCTTTTTTTAACAACTCTTCTGATTTAGAACTTGATGGAACAACTTCAATATCAATATGTTCACAGTTTTTTAACTCATTAAAACAATTATTTAAACTATTTAAATCTGCAGTTTCTTCAACAAAAACATTTGTTCCTGAAGAACTTTTCAAAAATGTTGGTAATGTAGTTGGTTTATCACTAAAGAACCTTATCAATTTCATCAAAGCAGGAACGATTTTTCGAAGGACCAGTCCCACTTGTATTTCGTTTATTATCAAGGTAATTTCGATATGCACTTGTTAATGTGTGAATTCTTGTTTTACACAATTCTTCATCTCTGTCTTCATAACCAGAAGCTTGCAAGTATAGCAAAATTTCCCTGCCAAATTTTTTTTTTTTAAAACAAAAAAAAAATACGAAGTTATCTATAGAGTTAAAGTCATATCAAATGTTGTTTTTACATCATAATTAAAGTATTTTTAAGATGTGAAAACACTTTATAACATCGATAATATTAAAATTATTATTAAAAAAAACACTGTTGTAAAATATTATTCAAAAACACTATTGTAAATTATATTTAATTAAAATTAAGATATATATTACAGGCCTTGCGATGAATAAGAACTGCGCGACGCATAAGCACGACGTGGTTTTTGACGTCATTAAATTCGTTTTATTTGCTTTTCATATTTATCGACTTTAACTGCACCAATTTACTTAATTACCGCAAAACTACTTTAAATCGTTTATGTAGAAATGTTATTATTTAAAAATGTTTTGGAGTGTTTCGTTTTTTAAAATGTAAAAACATTTGTTTATTTTCTCGACGTTTGTCACGTTTTGTCTATACTAAACGAATAAAAAACATTATAACTTAAATTTAAAAAAGGTTATAAAATATGCTAATATTTGATTTTTTTTTTCTTAAATATGTAATTTAAAGTTTTTCAAATAATTATTTTTTCTTTTTAAAAATTCAGCGAGTAATAAACTGGAAATTTTAATATTGTACGATTAAAAACTGTGCAATAGCTAATATTTATATATATATATATATATATATATATATATATATATATATATATATATATATATATATATATATATATATATATATATATATATATATATACATTGTATAATATACACACTGACATATGTCAATGTATCATATATCATACTTCTCTTAAATTACGCCATCCTTATAGATTATCAACTTATTATTTTAAAATAATATGCTTATAATTATTATTTGAATTAATTTAAATGTGTGTATTGTAGTGAATATTAAAGAAAAATAAATATTTTCTTGTTAATAGTAATAACAAAAAGAGATTCATTTATAATATATGTAGCATTATTTATAAATATATATGATAGTATTATATTAAAAATAAAAATCATAAACATTTAATTTCTTGATCATTTTGTAAACAAGGAAAAAAATATTTATTTCAATTCGATCCAAAATAACCAAAAAAGCAAACCTTGTGCATGACTTTAACTTTTCTTGAATATTATCTTCAGACCATTTACATGTTTCCTCGTCATCCCTAAGTCTACCTCCTTTTTTAGATTTAACTTTTTCTTCAGCAACAGTTTTTTCTTCCGCCATTTAAATACACAGTTCAGGATAATAAAACACGAACAAAACAACCTCACGGAGGTTGTTTTATATAAACGGCTTTTTTCGTCGCACGTGTAAATTAAAACCAATTTTAAACTTGGTGAGAACAGTAAAATTTTAAACGCGTTTAAAATACAACAGTTAAAACGTGTTTTATCGTCAGTATGAACGGGGTATAAGTCTATTTCGCCGTTCTGTAATGATTTCGGCAGCACTTAAAAATAACTCTTCAGAAGGCGTTGATGAAGCAGTTATAAAAAAGTGCATCTTCGCTATCTTTGACAAAACGGAAAATTGGCATAAATTATTTTTATAAAATGCAAGAGGGCATCAATTTTCCGATACTTTTATATTCATACTTAAATAATTAATTATTTCGTTGTCTAATGAAAACAAATCTTTTGATGACACTGTTTCATCGCATAACAATATTTTTTTGTTTTTTTGATGGACTTCTTTGACTAGATGACAACTCTTGGCTAGACAACTGAAAGCTTGTTGGTGTTAGCTGCAATTAATGGCTCAATTAAACAACTAAAGAATGATCTTTTTTAATACAAGAAATTTTAGTTTTTTTGTTCCATATAAATTTAAAGTTAGGAAATCGCGGATCTAAATATGTCTCTGCGGATAACTTTTCAATTAAAAAAAAATCTTCACATCTTCGATTAAAATTATTTTTGAATATGATGGCAAGAATTATGATTGTACGTATTTGGTTCACTTTTGAAGTAAGCAAAGTAATCAGGTAATTTATAAAAGGCTAGTAATATAACTGAACAAGTGGTATATTTTGATCCGCTCTAAATTTTTGTTAGATCATGTATTGACTCTAATAAATCAATTAGCTTGCCAATGATTTCCAGTTCCCAGCTTTTTAAAAACAAATTCTTATTACCTTTGTTCTCTGGCTTAATAATAATGTCTTTGATCGATTAGCTAAGTTTAAAAACTGACTGTAACATTAAAAAGGTTGAATTCCACCGAGTAGTAATATCTTGTTTTAATTTCTTAATTAAACATTTATCTTCTTGATCGTTAATTTTCATATTATTCAACTCAACACAATTTACAAGTTGAGCAGAAAGCTTATTA